CTAGGCACGTCAACCGACGCCACTCCTCTTGGATTCGACCCCGTCTCTCACCACACACTTCTCTCGGTGTACAAGTGTATTACAAGTGAATCCTCACAATTAGGCTCAATACAAAGTGTTTGTTCTCTACAATGAATGAGAACGAATTATAAGCTCACTCTCTAAGTTACACAATCCCACAACCCAATTATACTATGAATGTAAATACAATAAGCTCAAATGGTTGTGTGTATAAACATAGAGAAAATAAAATCAACTAAACTCAATATGAATACTAGCTTAATAAAATGATAATCAAACAATATCAAATATAAAGCTAGATTGAGTTTAGAAAACTTCTCAATAGATGACAAGAGATGGAGGGAGAATAGTTGATTGCTCAAACTCCAATAGATGATCTCCTCAAGCTCTTGTGGAATTGAATTCTCAAACTCAAACACCCAATTGCTTAATTACTTCTAAACAAATATTAAACAAACTTAAACCCTTATTTAAAACTCTTTAAACTTGTTTAAAATATTTCTTAAGTCTCTGTAAAAACTGAGGTAAGGGGGTATTTATATGAAACCCCAAATGTAAGAGAAAGCCAAGAAAAAGACCAAAAAAAACCACTCTGCAACGGCTCTAAAAATAGCCGTTGGAACTACGGCGGTTGACCGAGGAAAATCATGGTCGACCGCGAACAAGGTCAGAAACGGAGGAGTTTTCCAGAGAGTTCGTCAGTCGACCGCACTGTAGCGCGATCGACCGCTGGTACTGTAGCACTATATATCCAGATCTATAAAATTAATTAAAAATAGTAAATCAACTCCAAAAATTATGAAATTTTGAAAAAATGTTCTATACATGTATAAAAACATGTTAGAGAAAGAATTTATGAAAAAAATTTCCCAGTTGAGAGAAATAAATGTTTGAACACAGAAATACAGTTTCTAAAAATCTGCTGATATACACGATTTTGTAAAATCAATTGAGCACAGTAAATCAACTCTAAAAATAGTAAAATTTTGAGGAACGTTTCTAAACATGTAGATAAACATGTCAAAGAAATAATTTCTTGAATATAACTTCCCATTTATGAAAACTCATCTGTTTTGTAAAACGTGCACGAACATGTGCACGAACAAAAACATGATTTTGTAAATTCCATTAAACATAACAAATCAATTCCAAACTTTATGAAACTTTGTAAAATGTTTATAAACATGAAAACAAACATGTTATAAAAATAAATTTTCAATTTTCATTTTTCAATTGTTAAAACTTATTATTTTGTAAAAACATGCATGGATATGAATTTGTTAAGAACATGTTTTTGACAAAAAGAGTTTAAACGCATATTGAAACTTTATGAAATGTCTTCATAAACATTATAACACATGAATATAAAGTAAACATGGTCAATAAAATAATATCACAAAGTTTTCTCAAAATAGCTCATTTTGTGAGAAAATCCAATATTGTGTGTGTATATGATATTGAGCTTAGAGTATTAAACACACATAATATAAACCTATACTAAATATACCAAAGCTTGATGAAGGTCTTCAATGAGCATGACTTGGTAAACTTTGTGGAAGAAGATTGTAATTGGATCTTTAACTTGAATTGACGTTGCTTCACTCCACAATTCCGCCAACCTCCATTTGATATGATCGTTAAGGCTCGATTCCATTCATCCTCCAACTCATTGTTTGCCTAGAATAAATACAAAAACACAAACACTAGACAAACAACATTAGTTGTAAATTGTTTGTTAAACATCATCAAAATAAGAAGGCTAACACAAGCATCATTGAAGAAGAAACGAGGGGAGCCACGTCATATCAAGATTCTCCTAGTCCAAGATCCTCAGATGCATCAACTTCAGACACAAATTCACTACCTAAAAAGGTGCGTTCACTTCAAGATATTTATGACTCCTGTGACGTAGCATTCTTCTCCTGTGAATCACAGAAATTTGAAGAAGATGTTCAAGATGAAGGCTGGAGAAAAGCAATGGATGAAGAAATCTACATGATCGAGAAGAACAAAACATAGGAGGTGGTGAATCTTCCAGAAGGAAAAGAGGTCATTGGCCTTAAGTGGATATACAAAACCAAGTACAATGAAGATGGCTCCGTTCAGAAACTCAAGGCTCGATTAGTCGCGAAGGGTTACTCTCAGCAACCATGAGTCGACTTCAATGAGACATTTTTCCCCAGTTGCTCGTATGGAGACCATAAGGATGATATTGGCTATAGCAGCTCAGCTCAAGCTCAAAGTATTTCAGCTAGATGTCAAGTCAGCATTCCTAAATGGAGAACTCAAAGAGGAAGTCTATGTCGAGCAACCACAGGGTTACATAGTCAAGAAAGAAGAAAACAAAGTTTATCGGCTGCACAAAGCACTATACGGGTTGAAGCAAGCACCGCAGGCTTAGAATAGCAAAATCTACAGCTACTTCCACGAGAATGGATTTCAAAGGAGCCGGAGTGAACCATCTCTATATGTGAAGAAAAAAGGTGCGGACTTCCTTATCATTTGCCTATATATTGATGATTTAATTTATTGTGGTACTAACACCATGATGATTGAAGAATTTAAAAGAAAGATGAAAGAGGATTTTGAGATGACAGATTTAGGATTGATGAGATATTTTTTGGGACTACAAGCAAAACAAACTGAAGGAGAAATATTCATCAATCAAGAGAAATACTGCGAAGATCTTCTGAAGAGGTTCAACATGAAGAATTACAATCCAGTAGCTACACCAGCATTGCTAAGTAAAAAGCTATCAACGAACGACAGAGCGCCATAGGTGGATGCCTCAAGTTACTGAAGCCTAGTCGGATCGCTAATCTACCTCACAAACACTAGGGCGTACATATTGTATGCTGTAAGCATTGTGTCCAGATTCATGAGCAATCCAAGTAAGCTACACTATGGAGCAGCGAAGCGAATTCTTTGATATCTTCAAGGAACAAAGAGTATGAGAATAAAATACACAACAGAAGAAGACAATGCATTATCTGGATACACTGACTGCGACTGGGCTGGATGTATTGATGATTGCAAAAGCACTTCAGAATATGTCCTCACTCTAGGATCTAAGGTAATATCCTGGACCTCAAAGAAACAACAAATTATAGCTCTCTCATCTGCAGAAGGAGAGTATATTTCAACTACAAATGCTGCATGCGAAGCAGTATGACTTCGAAGGATTTTATCTAATTTACAATAAGACCAAGAGTCACCGATTACTCTCTATTGTGACAGCAAGTCTGCAATAGCCATGACAAAGAATCCAGTCTTCCATGTAAAAACCAAACATATTAAGATTCGTCATCATTTCATCAGAAAGCTTGTTGAAGATAAGGAGATCGAGCTAGAGTTCATCTCAACAAATGAACAGCTAGCATACATCTTCACAAAAGCATTACCCTCCAAAAAGTTTATACTATTTAGAAATGAGTTGGGAATTACAAATTAAGGAGGGGTGTTAGAAGATAATTTTTAATTCTAGAAAACTCTAGGATATTTGTAAAAAAGTATGTAAAGTAGAAATATCTAGAATAATCTAGGAAGAAAATATATTAAGCATGGATGTATGTAGAATTATATAGAATTCTCTAGAATTTTGATGTATCATGAAAAATCTAAATATTCTAGAGAATTCCTTGTGAGCCTATAAATAACCTTGAATGTAAGCTTTGTAATCAAGCTTTGAAGCAATTCATACAAAGTTTTTTCAAGTTCTTAGCCTCTTCTCACTTTCCCTCCTATTTCCTCCATTCTCAACCCATCCCGCTTCCTTAACTCCAACACTGATATGATTTGGACTCAAGATCGAGTTATCCTGCTGCATGTGACCAAAAAACCTATGGATGTTGATATTCATGTTATTACTATATAGTTATTAGTTTAGACTAAATGTCCATATGTGAGCATATAGTTCATTGTCATTCATAGGGGTAGTGTAATTCCCAATGTGACCCCCATCACCCACTTTATGGCACACAACTACTCACTCGCATGTGAGTGGGTAGTTTTGATATGATCCAGACTCAAAAAGCTTACAGGTGAGAAAAATCCTGTGAATGTTGATATTCATGTTATTACTACACGGTTACTATTTTAGACTAAAAGTCAGGTTAACTTAAAATATTGAATGGTGTGCTTTATATTCGTATGAATGGCAGTGGTCTAGTTAGCTTATAATTGGTGATAGATCCTCAGGATTTTGAGTAACAATTTTTTCTATGGTGGTCAGTTCAAACAAATTGAAAATAATCTATGTTACTGTGAATTATATGCATAAATGAAGAGGGAGGTTGGAAATCACATGTGAGACAATGAATCCATATAAGAAAAATTAAGAAAATCTAGTGGAGTTGCCGCCTTTTTTGTATGCATGGAAGTAGTTATGAAATAACTTAAATAAATAAAGTAGATGTCATTTTTGAGCTAAAAATATGTTCGTGAAAAACCCAATTCTAATACTTCTTTAAACACTAATGTGGCACCTACGCGACATACTTATTTCTTAAATTTCTTTTTGCCTAAAAAAAAGGAGCTTAGAAGTAGCTGAAATATGGGTGAACCTAGAAAATTTTATTTTATTTTTTTATCAATCTCTCTTTATAGTTCTAAATTTCTGAAAAGGTACTCCTTTAGTAATTGTTATCCGGGGGGAAAAAGTGAATACAGAAAGAAGAGAACTATCTCCACTATTTTCAAAAATGTTTCAAACAAGAACAAACAAAAACGTATTGAGAGTGTCACTTAAAACAACTTGACACATTTGAAAGTCAAATATATGAACTTAAAAAAAATATGATACCTCAAATACCCCAATACTATTACACTGATTAGCATGATGCCACTACAGTGGCACTAATCATTCAAAGGAGCAAGTCTGCCCCAAAGACATCCAACACTTTGATGCCAACCACCATAGCCCTGGAGCCCACAGTCCCATCCAATCAAACAGAAGAGAAAAAAAAGAGGCATGAGCAATGTGAGAGATTTAGAAATGACAGCCAACATCTAGGAGGACTAGCTCTCTCAAAAAGTGTTTGGGTGGAGCCAAAAACATGCCAGCTCCTGCTAACTCCTCCTTTCCCCTGATTCCTCCTCTTCTTCTACCTCTCAAACACCCACATTGGGCCAATCTGCGTCATGGTCCGGGTTGGTGGGAGGCTGCCGGGCTTCTGCTTGAGCCAGATCGCGACCAGGGTGCGCATGCGATCGCCGCCGTTAGAATCTAAGCCTGCTCAGCCTACTGGGCCTTCAGGCAATGAAGGGAAGGATTCAAAGGATTCAAGTGAGAAGCGTAGTGAAGTAGTTGGCTATGTTGGTAGGAGAGTGATGGTCGTATTGGATTCAAGTGCGGAGGCTAAGTGTGCATTGCAGTGGGCATTGTCTCAGTCAGTGCAGAGCAGTGACACTCTGGTTCTTCTTGATGTTGTCAAGCCATCAAAGCAGGGTGAGATCTTGGTTTAGATGTCAATTAAGGGGGGGAAATGTTGTCCTCTATATAAAATCATACGGGATATCAGGGCATACAAGGGATGAAGAAATATGATATAGCACGAATTTGTTTGATACACACATCAGTATCAGCTATTAGTGCGGTTGGACTTGGGCCAATGCAATTGCCATTCGTGCAATTCACACAGACAGATTGGCTGCACGGTTAACTATTTTTTTCCAAAGGGAAGGAGCAGTAGGGTTTTTCTTTATCTTGTTTCTTTGTGATTTGCAGGTGATCAAACAGAGAAGGAAAGAGATGCAAAGGATTTTCAGCTTCTTAATGCAATGAGGAGTGTTTGCCAAGCAAAGAGGCCTGAGGTACTGAATTTCCCCCCCTCATTTTTAATTCTCGCCTTGATTACTTATTAGTATCACGATTGATTATGATTGTAGAAACTAAATCCTTAGAAGAACGCAACAGTTTGTAGGTCGATATGTCGTAATCCTAATCTGATGTCGAGCATGCACACCAACAGAATATAGGGAAACAGTAAATTATGGATACCTGATATACAATATCGAAAGTTAGCTAAATAGCGATGAATCTCGTCGTCATCGAATCTTGACTGAGAGCAACTGACGAAGGAAAGAGAGCAATCAGTAGATGACCTAATTCTATTTACCTCAGCAAATCCCTCTCCTAGCAGCAATAGAATTATAGAAGAGCTATTGACGGAAGTCCTACGGCTTCACAAGGGCTTCATGAATTGGATCCTCGACAGAGTCCTTAAAAGGAAAGAACTTGGCTCTTTATTCGAATCCTCGACAGAGTCCTAATTCGAATCCTACTCGTATTGGCTACATCATTTCAAAACCCATGCCCGACTCTAATAGGACTAGCTTGGACCCATCTTGGAGTCCTACTAGCCGAAAGTATCAATCTATGAGAAATTACATTCTTACAAAATTATCAAAATTCAGTCTGTTACGTTGTATCATATAAATTTGGACTTAAGATGGGTGCTTGGGATTGTAACATTTTCATATAGGTTGAATGTGATTTTTTTTGTCGACACAATTTGCCCCGATGCTAAGCCTTGTGAATCAGTGTGGAAGCTTTAATCCGGATCTCCCAACTAGATCACCTTTTGTCATATTAGGGCAATTGATCACCTCAGCAACAGGGATATATCGAGAAAAATATATAATATGGCAACAAAGATAAATGCAAATATACCACAAGAAAGTAAGCACTAAACAAGATAAAAAGACGCATGGGTTTATGTGGTATCCTTGAGGAGATATTTTGAGTCTTCTTTATTCTCAAAGATTATGAAGGTACAATCTTTCTTGCATCAAGAAATCATCTCTCAATCTCTTCTAAACATCCTCACAAATTCTATAATTTCTTTGTTTCTTCTCTAAAACTCATGTACAGTTTGCAACTCTCTCCTTTGGCTCCGATACAAACCTTATACCCTGAAGGCTTGTATTTATAGGTTAAAACCCAAATACAATACCAACCAAGGCTTCTAACTTGAATATGATTCTAAAAACACAAAATAACCGAAATTGGTCCTGGGTTGGGGGTGGGGTGGGGTGGGGGGTAGTCCAACCTACAGTTTGACATGTTGATGCACTACTAAAAGACCACCAACCTTTTACTTGGTCGGCGTACCATTTGACGCTTTGCTGTTTCTTTTATTGGTTCGGTTTTGACCCTTTCAACATCTTCCAATCTGAAATAGAATACTTATTCTGACATTTTATGCATTGGATTCTATGTAGTGTATATTTTTTAATCCGCTTTCTTAAATGTGTATTTTATGCATTGGGTCCTATGTAGTATATATTTTTAAGCAAAGATTGTGTCTAGGCCCCACTTTACGAATCTTTATGTGACTTAATCCATCGAATATAGTCGAATATGTCCGAACTCTTTTTTCTAACTTTTCTTTCTGCTACCACCTTTCCTTTTCTTATCCCTAAATTACCCTTATCTTCTTCTTCTTCTCATCCTTCCTGTTGGGGAAAACCCGTGTCGAGGAACCAAACCAACCGCCGATCAAAGAAGGCAAAATCCAACCAAAATCAATACACAAACACCAAACACCAGTTTTAACGTGGTTCGGCAATTGCCTACGTCCACGGGGCAAGAAATGGATGGTTTTTTTACTAATAGAGAATAAGAGTACAAATTGAGATTACAAATCACTCGAAGGAACAAACTAATCTCACCATAAAGCTCTTAATCTCTCCAAATAAACTCTAAACAAATAGCTCAGAAAATACCTCTTTTCTGTGCTCCAAATATCCCAAACTCTAGCCTTCCGAAACCCTAGAACATATATTGGTATTTAGACAAACACCAAAATCCAAATCAGAACAGGAAACTCAAACTGGGCCTGACCCGTTACGCGGTCGACCGTCACGGTCGACCGTGACCAACAAACAGAACCTGAAAACTCCTACAGCGTCTGGCGGTCGACAGCGGTGGTCGATCGCGACAAACGACAGAGCCCAAAATGTCCTACAGGGTTCCAGAGTCTTGTAGACAGTAGAAAATACCTCCGTGAGCTTGCAAGAAATTCGCCTGCAAGAAGAAGTCGCCCAAGCCACGAGAATCCACCTTTTAACACAACTCGCCTGACCGAGTCTGAAGTCGAATTCGCCAGCAAACCTTAAGGCCGCTAGTATAGCTAGGTATCTGCTACCCCACGTGCTAAGGCGGCCTTTCCCACCTCTCTCGACCTGAAGGAAGAGAGCACAATATTCTAGGCCCGTCGAGTGAGCGGGCAGGTGTCGAATCGACCTGAGCACTCATAAATGCAGCTCACCTCGTCTGTCCGAGTCGAGAGCTGGATCCACCGGCATTCGGCAAGCTGTCCAAACCTACTCGAGTACTGGAAACCCACTTTCCCACCTCTCTCGACCTGAAGGGAGAAGACACGGTATTCCAGGCCCGTCGAATGGCCGCTCACAGTACGAGTGATCGGACAGACGCCAAATCAACCTGCACCCTCATAAATGCAACTTACCTCACTTGTCCAAGAGAGGGGCGAGAGCCGCCAACGCTCGGTGAGTTGGTCAGATCCACTCGAGTATCTGACAATCGTTGTCACACATACGAGGAGGGACTTTCCCACTCCTACGTGACGTGATGCAAAACATGGCTCCTCGAATGACCGCTCATGGTACAGGTGAACAGCAGGATATCTCTGAACAACGTATGGTCACATCCCATAATTCAAGGAGCAACCAAGCTGTCTCTCTTTCATTTAAGAGCCTCTTCCAGCAACCTTTAAAGGAGGTCGAAAAACTTTGGGAAGGGCATCGACGGCAAGCTCTCTGCATAATTTTTGCATTGCAGCGCCACTTCCTAGTTCTGAGCCCTGATCGCCGGTGAACTAGAAGACCCGAACTCCATCAAACCGAGCTTCTACTGCGTACTGAAGCTCCCCAGCAACCTCGGTCGAACGGTCCAAGGGAAGCAGACTCGGCACGAGCATCGAGCGAAGCATCCTGTAGCTACCAAAAGTCCCCACACTAAACAAGGAGGGCCTTCCCTCTGCTTCTGTTGTAATTTTGATTTATTAGTTTGTAATAAGCCTTCTTATTAATACAAACGAAGTTCCCTGTTTTCGGGAGATCAAAATTTACACCTACAAGTCTGTGCACGTTCGCGGTCAACCGGCCTTGTGCCATAGTCGACCGCGCAGCTCCCAACTGACTCCTGCGGATCCCAACACCTGTTCTTCACCAAACTTCTTTACGTTTTCTTCAATTCTCCATCTCGGTGAAGTTTCTTCCAAAACTGAGCCGACACCAACCAAACAAAATACCTCACTTGTTGCGTCCAATAAGAAGTGAAACTATTCACGACAATGGACTCAATCCACAACAAATCGAGACCCAAACGGGAGTACGAACACTTACCCAAACGTTGATGTCTCTCACCAAATCGGCTGCATCAAGACTGACTGCCTACGTATACTCTTGCTCAAGGAATCAAACATTCACGTAGTTCACCCAATAACCTCCAAAGGCCCTCAATCCAATAGAAGAGAACGCAACCCTCCTCCATCATCACCAAATCCGTGACTGATAACACCTCCAATGACCTCAAACTGAAGTGATCCAAGCACCTCTGCCTGAGGTGAACCAATGGCCATGTCCAAACTACGCCTATCAGCTGCACTCAAAACAATCAACACGTCATCTGGATCTGAAACCGAATGACCCCCATGCTGTGTCACCTTAGCTGAAGTCCCAAATAATACAGAATGACCTGGAGTATGTGGAGTAATATCCATCCAATTTGGAGTAGCATCACCTACATCCGCTATAATATCCAACTGATTTGATCAACACTCTCCACCTGCCGAGAGTCCAATGTGACATACCTTCTCAGAAAGAAATCAGAAGCTCCCAAATGATAGCCAAATGAGTCTCTGAATCCCAAGCGCGCAATCAGATCAAATTTCACATTCTTGATGTGACCAAGTGTTGGGTAACCAAATATCCGACGCCAACCAAAATCTGAAGCAGCTCTACCAGATCCAAAATCACTAAATGCAACAGTCGACAACCTATGTATAAGATGACCCAAACGTGTCGAAGCTCGAATACCAAGTTCAATGCTCGACAACCAACGCCGATCCTTCTCCAGAAAGGAACAGCTCATCAAATCTGTCATCTCATATCGTCGCCTCAATGTCTCCTCTCTAATGAAGTGTCTCCAACTGCCATGAGCTCGACACAAATGCTAGAAGAAACCCCTACTCGAGCTAGTACGATGGATAACCTTTTTGCCAACACACTTCTCCCAACTGTTGCGGACTACTAGGACTTCAAACCAACGGGGCTTGGTTGTGACCCATAAATGCCTAATACAATTCCCAACTACAGCAACCAAAAAACGATTTCCTCCTAATGATGCCTCCTTGGAAGGCCCCCAAATGCCTGACTGAACACCTCCTAAAAGACCCCTCGATCGATGGATAGAAGTGCCAAATTCTACCACGATCTTCTTGCTCATCCCAATGTGCTCAAAGGACTTCCATTTGCAGGTCAACGCACTCCTCAACAACCTATGAACGACATCGCCAATCAAATATTCCAGCGTCAAACATCACCACAGTCTAGCCAAATCCAATAAAGTCATCAACGCTCTATCAATCACCGTGCTCCTAAGAAAATAGTACAAGTTACTCCTTCTGACGCCCTTCATCACAATCATAGAACCAATTGTAACTTTCAAACGTGTATCCGCTAAGGTCACCCTATAGCCTGCTGCCTCCAAAACTCTAAGTGAAACAATGTCCTTCTTCAATTGAGGAACGAACCTTACTTCAAACAAATTCTGAATCACCCCGTCA